CTGGCCGCTCGCCTCGTCCAGCAGCGCGCCCGCCACGGCCCGCGACGCCACCTTGCTCAGCAGCTTCCTCTGGGCCTGCAGGGCCAGGCTCTTGGCGCTGAAGGTGTCCATGGGGCCTGCGGGAGAGGGAGGGGTGGCGTCGGGCTTGGGGCCGTGGCGTGGGCGCACACCGCCGCGGGGCCGGAGCGCCCACACCTGGGGGAGGACGGGCCACGACACCCCAGGAGACCTCATTTCTTAAAGATAAAACAGCATGGGTTGGGCGTGGTGGCTCACGCCTGTCATCCCAGCACTTCGGGAGGCCCAGGTGAGGGGACTGCCTGAGCCCGCGGGTTCGTGAACAGCCCGGGTGACTTGGTGACACCTTGTCTCTCCGAGAACCCAAAACATTCGCCGGGCGTGGTGGCGCACGCCTGGGGTCCCAGCTCCGTGGAGGGCTGAGGCGGAAGGATCGCCGGAGCCCAGCAGGCCGGCACTGGAGTGGCCGTGAGCGTGCCACGGCATCCCAGCCTGGGCGACAGCCTGGGCGACAGAGCGAGACTCGGACTCAAAAAAATCAAATCGAATCAAGTAAAACAGGCCAGGCGCCTGTCTTCCCACACTCGGGCAGGCCAAGGCGGGAGGATCACTTAAGGGCAGGAGTTCGAGGCCAGTCTGGGCAGCATAGAGCGAGACTTTGTATCTACAAAAAAATTTTTTTTAATTAGCCAGGTAGTGGTCACATGCTTGTAGTCCTGGCTCCTTGGGCAGCCGAGGCGGGAGGATCGCCTGAGCCCAGGAGGCCGAGGCCGTGGCGAGCCATGACTGTGCCACGGCACTCCAGCCTGGGCCACAGAGTAAGACCCTCGTCTAAACACACACACAAATAAATAGGGATTAAGTCAAAGGAATAAATGCCTAACAGTGAAATCTGGGCAGCGCCTTCTGGATCCCGCCTTTTGTGGGGTTTGGCGTCAGCCCCCAAATTCACCATATCCTCGCTGGGCGCCGAGAAGGGGCCCTGGGTGGTGACAAGGGGGAACCCTCCCCCCAAGGCCAGCTCCACAGTCCCCACCCCATCCCACCGCCGGGTGCCTTGGGTCCCGCCGAGCCCCTGGCCCCGGGCCGCTCCAGGGAGGAGCCTCAGCCCAGCCTCCCCGGCTCGCGGCAGACACCCCGAGACTCAGTCCTGGACAGGCCGGGCGGCAGCCTGGGCCGGGGATTCGGGGGACACGGGCGG